ACCTTTACCTTACTTTAATTACTATTTGTATCCAGTATTTTTCACAGATTTGCACTCGCACCTGTTTTGTATCCCTCAAGTATTATGTAACTTTTTCACTGATTTGTACTATTATTCTATATTTTGTAATTTACACCTACTTGTTATCTACTTTATATAAAGTCACTCACTTGTAAACATCCTTCAACTGAAGATGGATACTGCGTATCCGAAACATGTCTTACAAATTTAAACGGTGTGTGGTCTTTTTTAAATGTTTGATTTACTTATTTATTTATTTATTTATTTTTTAGTTTGGTGATAGCTGAGATTTTAACCCAGATCTGAGAACTGACGCATTTTTTTAACTGATAGCTCCGACTTCTCAAACATCCGAATTCAGACACGATCTGAAGTCTGACGTTTTTCCTCGGCTTCCGTATAAAGAAATGTTTTTCTTTTCCTTTCCTTGTTGGTACAGATAAACTGTTTGTGTTGTTATTGTTGTTGTTATTGTTGTTGTTATTGTTATTGTTATTGTTATTTCTGTTGTTAGATATTAGACAAGTTCTTTTTAGTTGGCGTGTTTATGGATCGAGACGCAGTCTTGACTGCGTTCTTGTTTTTCTTGTCTATTAACCACTTTATTGAAGAAAAAATTGTCATTACCTTAAAATTTATTCACAGTTATCTTAGAACCTTTATTTTACTATTTACTTTGTAGACCAATCTTTTGGTAGGATCATGATGAGCTGATGGCCAAACGAGCAGATGATGTGTCAAATATCATCATAATGATTATGGTAATATTTCTAAAAGCTTTATGAATTGCACGCCTATTGTCTTTCTAATTTTCTGCTACATAAATCCAAGTGAAACGAACATCTTAAAATCCTTTCGTCCATTTATTGTGAGCAGCGTCAATGGTGCTAATAGAAATGTTTACGGTGTATTCGCTATCCAACCTATAAGTTACTTTGGTGATTCCATGTAATAGAGCTCTGAGAAAGATTCATCCGAGATGAAACTGAGAAAATAGGTTTGTTGTTATATTATTACTCCTTTTTTAAACAGATCTTCAAACTACAGTTATTGCTAAAAATAGCGCGGTTGGTTCTTCAAAAAATGCCAGAAGGTTTATCACGATAATAAGGAGTTAATGTGGAATATATTAACTCTTAACAGCATATGGATTTCTCCCTTTGACACGTTTTACTGCACACAGCTTAAAACGCACAAGGGAAGTTCCCCGCGTCAGTAAGATCAACATGAATTCCAGTGTCACTCAAGATTTCAAATCCCGAATCTTCATCATCACCGGGGCCATACTGCTCTTATTTGCAGTGCTGATAACGATTTCCAATGGTTTGCTCCTGTTTGTGATATACAAAGACCCGCTAAAAACATTTCGCAACCCAACCGCCGTCGTCGTCATCTCGCTGGGTGTAGCAGACTTCCTGACAGGCTGTCTTACTGCTGTGGACGTAGGAATATCCCACATCCTTGAAGGACTCGACATCCAGAAAGTCTTACTTCAGGCTAAAATAATTTCCCAGATTACTGTGCGCGGAAGTGTCTACATCTTGACCATGTTTGCGGTGGAGCGGTTCATTGCCGTCGCGTTTCCGTACACGTATCGCGTTTCGATCACCGTGCGGAAGACCGCTATCGGTTGCGCGTTTTGCTGGGGGCTGGCCATCGTGACAAGTTGTCTGGAGTTAGCAGTCGATCGGGACCTGTATGATATCATCTTCTTCTATATCACTTTCGTCCTTCCACTTGCCACGATGTGTTTCACTTACTGTGCGACCTATTACCTGATAAAAATAAAGGCAGGAAGGGTGTATCGACAACGCGGCAATAGTGAGAACAAACATCGGGAGCGTGGCTCAACGCGGAGAGAAAAAATGTCCAAACAGTCGGCCGAGCTGCAAAAGCAACTCATGAAAACCGCGTCTCTTATAATCATCGTTTTCGCTCTATCTCTTGTTCCATTTTGGTCGTTTACTGCCATACGCCAGTATTGCAAGGAATGTGCTGAGAAAAAATGGTTCCTTGCAGGTTACCGATTTTCTATTCCGATCTTGTACAGTAATTCTGCGCTCAATCCGCTGCTATACGCTTGGAGGATGCGTCCGTATCGTAGAAGCTTTCAGACTTTGTTTGGGAAGAAACAAAATTGTGATAGGAGAAGGAGGCGCGAGTTGACCCCTTCAAACGTTAGCTCTGTCTGATCATAAATCATTTTATTTATGAGACAAAATTTTAAGTTAGAAGTCGTCTGACTAATTTTCACCGTGCACAAAGACTAGCAAAAAGTTTACACCTTTACGAACAGTTCCGTGCTCTTATTTAAAAATGTCCTTGTATTATAACGCGTAAGTAAGTACGAAGTGGTTGGGACATGACGTGTAAATGGCCCATTCAGGAAATTCAACTGAAACCAAGCAACTAGATGCAGGAAATGTCTTAAAAGAAATCGATTTTATGGTTTAAAAGGCCCCTACGCAATGATGAAAATAATCCTAATTGAAATGTTAATGTAGAGTAGTTTAGTTTAGATCAAAAAGAGCGATGCTTTNAGAAATCGATTTTATGGTTTAAAAGGCCCCTACGCAATGATGAAAATAATCCTAATTGAAATGTTAATGTAGAGTAGTTTAGTTTAGATCAAAAAGAGCGATGCTTTTACCTTTTTGCCGAAACTTTGTCGGTTCCAAATAAAGGAAAGTGTTCTTACTATAGTTTTTTTTTTTTCACTCAGGTCAAATTCAGATGCGTTAGTAGTAAGAAAACTGAAACAAGTAAACAGCTGGCATGGGCTTTCGGGCAAATGTTTTGTTCTAAAAATTAAGCGACATGATCAATTGATTTCTTAGGGGCCCAATGCCGCAATATATAGCCCAACCGTTGACGCAATATGTAGGTACTCAATTAGAAGATTGACTGATATGTACTCTGTAGCAAAACATAATAATGCAGCTAAATAAAATTAAGGTGGGCTTAGTGGAGACCAATATAAGGTTTTCTTAGTTGCAACAACAGAAGGACACCTAAATTTTCAGCTATACTAATAAAACAAATAAACATATACAACTAAATAGTTGCTGTTGTAACTTCGATAATCTTTCATGTTGTGTTTCTTTCTGTGTATCTTTATTCCCGCAGTTTAAATATTTAGTATTTTATATGATGACTCACTAACGAACTATCAGCGAAAAACATCAGGGAAGTTGTTGAGGAGAAGACAAAGAACAAATTCCTCTTCGTTTATCATTCATCATTTCGGGAGATCCTTCGTCAGTCATTAAAAGACCCTTTCATTTGGAAAGCTTCGGAGATAAAGTACTACAACGAAACCAGGTTTATACCGGCGAACACCAGTTGAAAATGACACGCCAAAGTTTCCGTATTAGCCGGGTGTCCCATGCCTTAACTGCAACTTACGCTCAAACCGAAGAAACCTTATGCTCATTCAGAACAGAAAAAGATGTGCCACATTAACATTACATTTCTTCTGTCAGGTTCAAATGCGACAGTGTAATCACTTAAATAGTCTGTAACTTAACAAAGGTGCAGTAGCCTATAGAACGTTTTCGTGTTCTAATCGAATCTGACAAAATTTTCAATTTTGACTAGTTTTGCGCGTGCTTAATTGCCACGTGATTGGCGCATGATCACTTGTATGTGCACTTAAACCCTTTGGATACCTGTAATTGAACACCTACCCATTAATACTCGTGCGTCAGCTACGTGTGCTTTAATGGCTTTCTTCTGATGGTTGTTTCCTGTCTGTACTGTCTTTTTCCGCTCAGAAGAAGTTCTTATTTAAAAAGACTTGTCAATCGCGAAATTTGATAGTATAACTGAACCTTGTTTCGTACAATTCAGACAGCAATCGTGCTCGGCTTAATTTTAAATCGGCCTCACGCTTTTCGACCGATTTTGATATTACTGGCCCGATTACCTCCTGAATTTCTACTCCACTCGTTTAAATGACTATTACTAATAACAGAGTTCAATTGGCAACTCATCGCGAAAAATTAATATCTTCAGTTTGCAGATCGGATCAGTGAAGGAACTTCCTTTCATATTAATTTTCCTGGAAAAATTCAGAAATGAATAAACAAAGAA